TGTTCTCAAGGAACCAAGGATGTGTACAAAGAATGAACACGTGTTTTGTCTTGCCTGTATCACTCAATATCTGAGTGTAAACTCTCAAACTTGCCCGGAATGTAGCGAACATTTGAGTGAAGATACGCTTCGTCGAGCACCGCGTGCATTGAATAATTATTTATCTAAACTAAGGATAAATTGCGATTATGCCAATCGAGGATGTCCACAGTTTACCTGTGTCGAGGAACTAAAAAATCATGTCGCGAATTGCGGGTTTTCCCCTGTGTTGTGTTCAAAAGAGGAATGCAGTATGGTAATTGATAAGAAAGATAGAATCCACCACGAGACTGTGCTTTGTGAATATAGAAAATTCAAGTATTATGGCTGTGAACAAACACAGGAAGATGTGAAAGCAATGAAGAGAAGTTTAATGGAATTGAACGGGGAAGTAAAAGCAGCTAAACAGACAAAGTTAGAGAACAACCATGTTGACATGGAAAAGTTCTTGGGAAAATTGGAAGGAAGTTTAGTGGAACTGGATGGCAAAGTGGAAGTAGCAAATGAAAAGATAGAGAACAATAATCTTGAAATGAAACAGATCGTTGGAAGATTGGAAGGACGTTTAGTGGAACTGGATGGTAAAGTGGAAGCAGCTAATCAAAAGACAGAGAACAATAATCTTGAAATGGAAAAGATTGTAAGAAGATTGGAGGAAAGTTTAATCGAACTGGATGGGAAAGTGGAAACAATGAATAAAAGGCACGATGAAATTAAACAAGAAGTAAAGAAAGAAGTCGGGGAAGTTAGGAAAGAAGTAAGAGACGTGAAAGAAAATCTTTGCAAAATGGACAAAGACGTGGACGAAGTCAAAGTGATGGTGAGTCAAATGTTGGAAAAGATAAATGTGCTCGAACGGATGAACAAACTGCCCTCTCCGACAGATGAATTGTTGAATAACCTAAAAGAAGACATTTTAGTTGCAGGTGGATATTGTCTTTCGGTTAAAACTGGCAAAAGTACTGAAATTTATTCCTGGGAGAAAAACGGTTGGTTTGAAGCGGCACGAATGAATGATGAGCACATTGGAGCTTCATTAATTAGTTATAAAGATCAGTTATTTGTCTTTGGAGGAGACGGTAGCAAGAAGATAGAGACCTTGGATCTCAATGAATTACCTTTGAAATGGAATAAGTTTTGTGGAGAACTTCCTTACAAGTGTGATGATCATCAAACTGTCGTTTACCAACAACGTGTCATTCACATTGGTGGATATATCTCTGGCAAATCGAGACGGTCCAACGTGATTAGTGAATTGGAACTTACCTCACCTTGCGCAATGAAAGACTTGTGCCAAATGCCTGAGCCAAGAGATTGTCATGGCGCTGAAATACTCGAAGATAAAGTGTTGATCCTGGGAGGACAAAAATCTCACTATTGTAAACATGCTATGGACAGTGTATTGGAGTTTGATGCTACGAAGAATGAATGTAAGGAGTTGTCGCCATTACCACACCCTTTGACGGAACTGGCAACGGTTCGCTGGCGAGATCAGGTAATTGTGCTTGGTGGTCGTGATAAGAATGGTCAAGTTCTTAATGATGTTTTCATGTACGACTGCAAGACGGGAAAGATCACAGTCTTACCATCCATGTTGGAGAAGAGATATGAATGCTGTTCAGTTATCACTGGAAACACAATTGTAGTCATGGGAGGTATCAATAGAGAAGATGAATATCTCAATTCAGTGGAGAGTTTTACAATGGGAGGTTCTACATGGGAATATCTTCCTGCCATGAATAAAGCCAGGTACAGAGCAGTTGCTGACGTGTTACCTTCCACAAGAAAATATGTGTAAGCTTGACATTTAGACATTATGACAAGACGTTTATTAAGCTTAGTTGACATTAGCAATTCTGTCGGCGATTTTCTCCTCCTGACAAACGTGATCGAAAGAATGACTTGCAAAACACGTTTACTTCTGAAAAGCAACTCTGTACTTGTGTGTGCGAGTTCACTCATTTCGATCCGTCAGAAACACAAAATCGTCAGAAACACAAAATCGCCAAAAAAATTGCTATTGTGAACCAGGCTTTAATCGCCAGTAATTATGCATACAGTCATTTTATTCAGATTGCATATCTCAAGTTTTCCAGAGGGTCCTGAAGGGGTAAAATGGAAACTGGGATTTGCTTAATTTTGGGTAGGAAAATGGGATTTCATGCACTGGGACTGGGATTCATCAGCAAAAAAAACAATAGAAAATGGGAATGGGATTAAGATTTGAGCAGGACAGCCACTGAGATGATGGGATTTTTGCTCTGGGACAATGGGATTTAGTCAAAATTTGGGCTGGGAAATGGGAATACGAACCGCCCCCCGCCCCCTTTTCAGGACCCTCTTTCCAGTTTCTGCAAGGAAGAAATTACAGCAAGTTGCAAAATGAGAAAGTTTATTCCAAAACATTTACATCAAAATTTTTTATGCATACATGACGTCTTATTTTTTTACGTATTTGTAAGTAATTTCAATTATAAAACGACAATGAAATAAAATTTGTTCCAAGTTTCGACACTTGTTTTGTATTTTCGCAATTGTTAATTTGTTTTACAAAGCTCACGCGCTCATTGCATTCGCTTGTTCGCTTTTTGAAAACAAATTAACGCGTGCAAAAATACCATATGTCAGCACTTCTCATGAAAAAATCTCTATTTTATGTGAGATTTTTACACGTGCAGCAAGAACATTTACAACATTTGGTAAAATAGTATTTTAGCAAAAATAATTGTTTTTAGAGTTCGGTAGAGTTCAATAAATACCTTTTCTCTTCCGAGTATATTGGTTTTTGCCTGTAAGTTTTGAATGTTGCCTTCTGACTCATGAAAATCTGAGTAGCTCTTTTCATACTAACCATTGTTGCTATCCAAACATATGACTTGCTTGGATGATAATTGACAATAGTTGGAACCAATCAGCAACAAGCACGGTAGATTCGTAACTATCTTTGTTGACGCTCAAAACAAGACGTTGTCGTATCTTTGCTTGAAATGTCAAAGTACTTGTTAATATTTTTAAGGGAGGTTTATCCTGAAATTTTTGGGCCCGGTTGTACGAAAACGTAGCTAAAGTTAACTGCACTTAATGTTAAACCACCGTAGTTCAGTTTTTATAACTGCGGTTTGTTACTACATGGCTTAATTAAGTGAATTGCACAAACCATAGTGGATCAGATTGTTAACCAGTCACATAATTAAACTGCGAATGGGAGTTTTTAAACACTAAATTATATAAAGTAATGTATGATTAACGACCGCTGAGAAGCACTTTTAGCACGGTTGTGGACTCCGGCGAATAGTCGAAAAATTGATTCAAAATAACATCAAAATAATGAAAAATAAACAAGAAAACAAGACAAAACCGCCAGGAAAATGGCAATTTTTGCGTGAGATGAGTCTACGTTACCAAAGTGTAGCTGCTTGGGAATTATATACCATATTTCTTCGTTTAATGAGCCCCACCTGGTTTTCGAAAAAAAAATATAATACTCCTGTGCAATAATACTTTCTGTTTTCGCCAAGAAAATCAAAGCGATAGCTTTTGAAGTGTTTATAACTTTCAGGAAAGATTCACAGAAAAGGTGGCGATTATGATTTCTGCTCCTATGCAAGCGCCATTTTTAACTACGTCTTGAGAAGTTAATGGTACCATAGAGCATATAGTTAATTTTAGCTACTTTGTAACTGCAGTTAAAAATTAAATGACGAGCTATCACCTCATAGAAATCGAGTGGGAGTAATCTAATTTTTTTAGCAAAATCAGAGATCAAACATAACTGCGCCAGAAAATGATTGTTTTGCTACTCGCTATCTATCGAGGAACAGGTCATGCGAGTAGACTCAGTAGAGTTACCCTGGGAGCCAGAACCTCCTGTAATAGAAGTGAGGACACAACGAGGAGGCTCTGCTCACACGAGCATCCAGTCTCACTTTGGTGAGTTCAATATTTGAACTCTGTTGGTGATTGGTCTAAATTTATGCGAGTCTTTTCATTGGTTAACCGACGCTCATTGGTTAACCAATGACAAAGGCTCGTGTCCTCACTGTTATCACAGGAGGCTCTGGCACCCAGGGTACAGTAGAGTGAGCAATCATCAAATTACAGCATTTTGCACTAGTATACTAGTATGATCCTACTAATAAGTTATATTTATCCCTAACCATGCATATGACGAATACACAATCCCAATGCAAGTCAAAAACCGACGGCCAATGAAATTGTGTATTTTATCACATGAAAATGCTTTTTGAGCGGGTTCCAAGAAATGCAGAATAGTGCTATCAAAATCTTTAAAATATTGAAGAAATTTTTTGTGTCGGTGTTGTGTACTCAGGTGAATATGATGTTTGTGATGTTACTCTGAGTGTATATCCACACCGGGCGAGCTTGAAAAACATGCCCGGTTAGCAGAGCATTAGGCTAGTAATCCAAAGGTCGTAGGTTCGAATCCCACCGTGGTCAGGCATATTTTTCAAGCTCGCCCGGTGTGGATATACACTCAGAGTAACATCACAAACATCATATTCACCTGAGTACGCAACACCAACACAGAAAAAATCATATTACCAGATTACATTGGTATCGAAGGAACTAGATTGTGTTCCGAAATATCACTTACCCGAACCGTTCTGACCGCGTAGCTCAGTTGGCAGAGCATTGGGCTGGTATTCCAAAGGTCGTATGTTCGAATCCCACCGTGGCCGGGCATATTTTTCAAGCTCGCCCGGTGTGGATATACACTCAGAGTAACATCACAAACATCATTGAACAAATTGTCGAACATATTTTTTCGTATTTTTTTCGTTTTAAGAATTCATAGTTTTTTCGCCGAAAAGTTGCAAGAATGTAGTAAAACTATCGTAGATTCAAGATTTGTTATTATTTTAGTATTTTTTGATAGTTTTAAGGTATAACGATTCTTAGTTTATTTGCCAATTTTAGAAATAAATATAACTTAATAGTATGCACATGCACGCCTAGCTGTTGGGCTTCCTATGTTTCGTCAAGAACAGACTGTGAGCTAGTGAACACAGACCAGCTGTGTTGCAGGAACAAAAGACGAGGTCATGACGTATCAGATACCCGAATAGCCAGGAGAGTTGTGGAGCATGCTACCCCGGAAAATTGCGAACTTTAGAAGCCCAGAATGGCCATTTCCTGCGTTTTTAGAGTGACATTTGGTTTGGTTTTTACCTTAAATATCTGTACGGGCGTTTAATTTACAACTAATTTTCATAGAACAGTCGCTGGAAAACTCAATTTTAGAACTGCCCATCGTAAGTTTTATAACTAGCCATTTTACATTTAGAAATGGGAGCTCTTAGGATGACATCTGCCTATAGACGTATAACGCTAGTCGTATGTGAATTTGTGTTAGAAATGTATTTGAAATTTCACATTTTTTAACTGCAATAGAGTTTAATACAACATTCGAAGAAACACGTGTCGGCAGAAGCCCACAAGAGATTTCAACGTGGCCAACATACAGAAACATACAAACTAGCCTTCAGGGCACAATATGAAGGCAAAATGGAATTGTCCCTCGATATGTTTTTTCCTTCTATCTGCCCGAGTAAATAAAATATTGATTTGCAATCGATAACAAGAAATAATAGCAAACTATAATATAAAAACACTAAAATGCAGAAGAAAATCGTTCCGAGGCCTCTTAAAGATTGCAAATTCGTACTAAAGGTGTTTTCCTTCCGCGGTTGGGCATCGCGAACAATTTTTCAGATGATGCTTCGATTAAGCGCTGCGTTTTTTTGTATCTACGCGTACCGCTAGATACTATATAACAAACGTACTTGCAGGGAGGTGAGTCCGGGATTGGACGCACCGAGGGTGGCTGGAAGTTTCCCGAACTTACCGAGCGAAGCGAGGTGAGTTCGGGAAACTTCCAGCCACCCGAGGTGCGTCCAATCCCGGACTCACCGAACCTGCAAGTACGTTTGGTTTTTATCCCATACACCGAGCCATACATACATTTGTAGCTCTTCGCGATATATTCGTCGATGTTTTGTGAACATTTTCCCGGCCAAAAAATCACTGGGCAAGAAAATTCTTCTTTATCTACGTCTACAATACCTTTACTGCACTTTTTCTTTGGTTTTTCTTCAGTCTCAGTATGTTAGTCACCGAAAAAAGTTCTTTAAAGTTTAGGTTTATCGGCTAAATCTTGTCCGCCATATTTGTTATTGTTATTGCAACGTAAGCAGTTTAGCGGGTGAGCTCGGGCGAAAAGCAGGTGAGTTCGGAAAAAAGCAGGTGAGCTCGACGACAAGCTCACCTGCTCTAAACCAATCAGAAAGCCGCTTTTAACACAGGTATGGGATAATGATATCGAGTTGTGTGTGCGTTAAACACTCAGGTCGACTAATTATGAATGTACGCCTGCGAACAGGCAGTCAAATAAATATGGCGACATTTTCGCACATACATGTACGCCAAACGTACCTATTTTTATAAATAATTGCGTCGCTTATTCGAGGGCGGCGCTCTGTTGATAATTTTGCTCTCGCTCGCGGCGCTTAAACGAGTAAATACGGTGATGCGCATTTCAGCGTCGGCGGAACAGTTTTATTCTTGGGTGGGAAGGGGCTGGGTGGTGTGTGTGTGTGTGTGTGTGGGAGGGGGTAATAATATATCTTCTTCTTGACACATTTAATACTTGGTTTCTCTTATTTGCCCAATTTTGAAATAGAATTTTCAAAAATTTTACTCTGACCGATCCGCCGCTACTGGCACATTTATGCAGTTAAAGAGCTCAGGAAATAAAGTTTTTTCCACCTTAGCACGACGACTTGAAAAAGTACACAAATGAACGTCCCACTGCTTTAATCAAAATAGTTTGGGAACCATTTCTTGGCTTCACTGGGTTTCTTACGGCGAATGTCATCGATAATTCTTGGCATACTAACGACAAAAGTAGAAAAACGTTTTTTCCCCTTGCCACAATTGATAAACACATTACTACTACACATGCCGGCAACCTGACCATCAAGATCTTTGAATATAGGTAGTCCAGGCTTAGTAGAACGTAAGGGGTAGATAGTAATTATAATTTGTTTGAGATCTTTTGCGTCGTCAAAATTGATGCTGGGCTCGCAACTTGGTGTGGGAATATTGCTGGAACTGCTGCTGCCGGTGCTCTTCAGCCAATCTACAAGATCTTCAGGATATGGTTGCACGGTAAATTTCGCTGCCTTCGTAAGAAACTTAGATAAACTTGCTGGTGCAAGCACTTTTTCGCCCGGTTCAGGAGACGCCCTCGAAACTTGAGGAGGCAACTCCTGAACAATACGTGAGGTCTTCAATTTCAGCACAACATAATCTAAAGCATTGCCTTCGTTAGAACGAACTACAACAAAGTCATCATTTGTTACAGTTGCATCGTAATTAGCTATCTCGGCTTCATCATTGAAAACCAGTATTTCCAGAGCATTGGCAAATTGATCGGATTTAATAAGACGGAGAACACTATTACTGGTCATTACATAAACGTTTTCATTATCTTTGAAAACAAGCCATCCATAGCCGAATAATTTCTTGCCTCTCTTCAAATATATTACCGAGAACGAACCATCACGAAATCCAAAAGCTGTAAGGTAAAAGTTTAAAAACACTTAGTGCAATAATAAACATTGTCTGAGATCAACAAGTTGATTAGTGTACTTACAAGCTATCGGGGCAATAGAACTTCTGGCTTCAGCCTGTTTTCACTAGGAAAATGTGTTCGCGCAAAGCGACTAAAACCTTTGTCGACATCACCTATCACATCAGCAAAAGTGATGTCCCCAAAGGAAAGGTCACTTCTCGGGAACAATTTTTCCTAGGAAAACGGGCATTAGAAGTATTGACGTCACTACGCCAAACAACTGCAGACAACTACCGTGAAGGAAATCGACAACATAATTGGCCAACTTGAGAAAGACAGCTTATGGAAGGTGTTATGCATCACAGAATGGACGCTCAGACTTGTATTCAAGGCATATAATAAGTTCATGTATGTGAAAGAGAGCAATAACGAGGCCGAAAATTACGAAACAAGGATTCATCGCAGAAAACTTGCACAGCGAGAAACAGCAAATGTCAGCACCTTCGCATAAATTTCATCACAACAGAATATTAGCGACAGGAGACGAAATTTCGAAAAGCTATGAAAATCCATAGCGACATCCGAAAGATAAAACTCGTCTAAGGTTCATTCAAACTGTTTAATTTAATGCAACTCTTGGAGGTGTTCGGTAATTAAACTGCAGTAAATAATAGAAAAAAACTAAGGCCCCGCATGCACTGGTGTAACAGAAAGATCGCAGGAACCAGACAAGTACTACAGTGCGGTGCCCTAGAGCATGCGCAAAACAAGTAAACCGCAAGCGTGATGACATAGCATTTTGGAATAAAAACCAAGGTTTGTGATTCAGAACAAACTGACAAACTCACGCAGCGAATATAACTTCATTTGGGAGCCGCAATATGCCCCCTCACGTTTCGGACGTTTGGCGCACTACTTTTATGTTGGTACAATTATATATTTGTTTTAAGAGATATATTTGGACATGTTGAGGTATAACAGAAATATATTTAAGTAAACTGAGTCTAACTAAAAACAATTTTCGCACACTTTTTAAAAAAACTATGTTCGACCTTAACGAAATATTCTAGTTTCAAGTGCCGAGTGTTAATGTCTTCTAAAAAGGAATGAAATTCTCGTCAGGTTTGACTTGAAATAAATAGACGGTATTACCAAGTACACGACTAGCGAAGTTCAGGAATGATAACATTCGCGGTAGTGCGATGATCTCATAAATATGTCTGTGTATTTGTGTGTATTTGTCATTTTGAGTTCGGCTGCAATTTTCTCTCAATGACAATGGAATGGTGTGGTAACATGTTAATGTTGTTGGATTAAGTAGTACAATTATCCTTTTAAGAAACAAAGGCAAAAACTCATTACATACAGTAAGTCATTAAGCGCGTTAGAGCAAAATTCATGTCATGGTCATAAAACATTTGACACAAACCCGAACGGTAAAGTTTACATAAAATGAATATACTGTCCTATAGATTTATTATGTCTTCAGCTTGACAACCCAGAATTATCTCCAGATTGCTTAAAAAATATCAGGGGCGTTCGCAACGGCTCTAAAAATGGGGGAGGTGGCACACTTCGCGGCTGCCGAAGGCAGCTGACATTAAAGGGGCAAATCCCCCGGAAAAATTTAAAACTAAAGTCTCTGAAATGCCATTTACAGCACCTTAAAAGGAGATTTACGAGTTCCAAAGGTAACAAAATGTCATACAATATCTCAAATTGTTTTGTCTAAACGCGTAACTGAAACTATATCAATTATCTTTGTGGTTTATTATTGACCATTGTTAAAAAGTGTGTGTGTGTGAGGGGGG